GACAGAAGATCAGGCCTACGTCGCCAGTCCAACGCCGGGATCGCGCAACCGCCGCGGGGCTTCAGCCGCTTCCGGGCGAAGCTGCGCCGGTAAGTCTACAGTGGAGTTTTTAGGATCTGCGCGTCGGCCACTGCGCGTTTCGAACGGGGGCGGCTTACTTGAGCTCGACCTTGGCGCCGCCCTCCTCGATCTGCTTCTTGATGTCCTCGGCCTCGTCCTTGGACGCGCCCTCCTTGAGGGCGATGGGCGCGGACTCGACCATGGTCTTGGCCTCCTTGAGGCCGAGGCCCGTGATCGTGCGGACGATCTTGAGCACCGCGATCTTCTTGTCCGCGGGCACCTCCGTGAGCATGACGTCGAACTCGTCCTTCTCCTCGGCCGCCTCGGCGCCGCCGCCCGCCGCGCCGGGCGCCGCCATCATCATGCCCGCCATGGGCGCGGCGGACGCGTCGACGCCGAACGTCTCCTCGATCTTGGAGACGAGCTCCGACGCCTCGACGAGGGTGAGGGACTTGATGTCCTCGAGGATGTCGTCGACCTACGAGGGGGCAGCGGGTTTGTGGGGCTGCGGGGCGCGCGGGGAGCCGCGACCGGCGGGGCCGCTTCGGCGAGGGACCGCGGCGGCTCTCCGGGGCCGGAGAACGTCGGGAAAAAAGGCGCGCACCTTGGCGGGCATCGCGACAGACGTCGGCCGGCTGACCGAGGGGGCCATGAAGGCGGAGGCGGTGGCGGCGAGGGCGAGGAGGCGGAACATGGTTGCTGTGACGACCGAGACGGGCGACTGAGTGGTGCTTCAACTCAATGAACGCGGCCTTGTCTCCTACTAGTAGATGCGCGGGCCGACGTCGCGGTACTTGGCGATCATGATGATGCCACAGTCGTGGCGCCGCCCGAAAGCCTGGGGACGTAGAGTGGCACGTCCCGCCGACCCAGGGATTGCGAAAGCAAGGGACTCGACCTAGCCGCGCGCTGGAGGCGTCGCACGAGCTCGCGTCGCGGGCCCGGCCCGGGGAAGTTCGTTCTCGCCGGGGTCTCCGGCAGCGCTCGCCCGCGCGCACGATCGACCCCACCAGCCTTACCAAGGACAACGACCACGTAACTGACGCCCGACGCCGAGGACGAGGCTCGCCAAGGCCGCCGGGAGGACCCATCCTCGAGGGCTCCTGACAAGCGCCGCTGCAGACCCCAGGCGCGAGAAGAGCGCTGCCACAAGCAGCATGGCCGCATAACCTCAGGCCGACCGCTCGCGCGCGCAGCGGCAATGTTCCGCCACGCGCGCACCGCCGTGCGCTTCTTCGCGAAGAAGAAGAAGAAGCAGCGACCATCGGACTACCGCGCCGTCGTCGGCCTCGAGGTGCACGCGCAGCTCCTCACGGAGCGCAAGGCCTTTTGCAAATGCCTGAACTGCAGCGACGGCGCGCCGAACGCGCACACCTGCGGCGTGTGCCTCGGCGAGCCGGGCTCGTTGCCCGTGGCCAACCCGGCGATGGTCGCGCTCGGCGCCGTCGCCGCCGTCGCGCTGCGGTGCGAGTCCGTCGCGGACGACGTGACCTGGGACCGGAAATCCTACTTCTACCCGGACCTGCCCAAGGGCTTCCAGATCACGCAGAAGCGGTCGCCGCTGGCCGTGGGCGGGTCCGTGGAGATTCTCGGCGACGCGGACGCGCGGGGCGGCGGAGAAAACGTAGCGATCGGCGTCGAGTCCGCGCACCTCGAGGAGGACAGCGCGAAGCTCTCCTACAAAGGTGATACCTTTGACGTCGACTTCAACCGGTCCGGCTGCGCTCTGGTGGAGATCGTCTCGAAGCCGGAGCTGCGGAGCGGCGAGGAGGCCGCGCGCTACGCGCGGGAGCTCCAGCGGACGCTGCAACGCGTCGGCGCGTCCGACGGCGACATGGCCGCGGGCTCCTTCCGCGTGGACGTCAACGTGAGCGTGGCGAAGGACGGCGACGTCGCCCTGCGAGAAAAGGTCGAGATCAAGAACCTGAACAGCTTCAGGGCCGTCCGCGGCGCCGTGGACCACGAGGTCGAGCGGCAGGGCAGCACAAGAGAGCGAAATTCCCAACTTCAAAGGCTCCGATCTCGGCCATTTTCCACTCGTTTCGGCTGATTTTTGGACGAGCGATCATCTCTCGGAACGGTCTCGAAGCGTGGGTGCTGTTTCCCAAACGCGCGCGAGCGGAACACTCACGTTGAAGCGACGTTGAATCGCTCTTGTGCTGCCCAGGTCGAGCGGCAGGGCCGCGCGTACGACGCCGGCGAGACCGTTTTGCCGGAGACGCGGTCCTGGGACGGCAAGAAGACGGCCGTGCTGCGGGCCAAGGGCGGCGCCGAGGCCTATCGCTTCGCGCCGGAGCCGGACCTGCCGCCGCGGCCGTTCTCGGAGTTCGATCGACCGGACGCGGCCAGCGTGCTCGCGGCGACGCCGCCGGCCGCGCGCGCGGCGCTGGAGGCCCTCGGGGCGTCGCCCGCCCAGGCGCGCGCCCTCGTCGACGCCGACGCCGACGGGGCCGCCGCCGCGTTCTTCGAGGCCGCGGTCGCGCTCGGCGCGCCGGCGGACGCCGCGGCGACGTGGCTCTCGGGCGAGGTCGCCGGCGCGGCCGACAAGCTCGGGCTCGCGACCTACGGCCACCTCGCGCCGCGGGACCTCGCGGACTTGTTGGTCCTCATGGGCGACGGGTCCCTCGGCCGCCGCGCCGCGAAGGACCTGCTGCCCGCGCTGCTCGGCGCGCCCCACGGGCCCGTGCGCGCCGAGGTCGCCGACCGCGACCTCGGCCAGATCGCCGACGCCGCCGCCCTCGACGCGTTCGTCGCCGACGTCCTCGCGGCCCACCCGGACGAGCTCGCCAAGTTCGCGGCCGGCGCGGGGCAGCTGCGGAAGCTCTTCCTCGGCAAGGCCATGGCCGCGTCCCGCGGCCGCGCGGACCCCGCGGGCCTCAACGCCGCGCTAGACCGCGCGCTGCCTCGTTAAACGTCGGGGAAGGACGGCGCGGCCCGGGGCGCGGCGGCCCCGCCGCCCGCGCGGAACTTCTTCTCCCGGAAGAAGGCCTGGGGGTCGTCCTGGAAGAGCTTCGCCCGGTCGCAGGCCGCCTGGAAGCGGCGCTTGCTCCGCTCGCGGTAGGCGCAGGCCATCGCGCAGCAGAGGCACAGGAAGAGGCACAGGTGCGCCTGCGAGTCGGCGGTGGAGCGTTCTCTCTTTCTCTCTGGTGGCGATCGGAACGTGAACGCGTGGACGGACTCTCCGTTCTCTCTCTCTCGGGTGGCGATCGGAATGGACACTCTCCGGTGCCATCGAATGCCGCGCTCTCTGGTGCGGGTCCAATGGATGGTGGAATCGCGGACCCCGGCGCGCGCCAGCGGCATGACGATCAGGATCCGCTCCGGCAGCCAGAGCGCGTCGCAGAGCCAGACGGCGTGGCAGAGCCACATGAAGGCCAGGGAGAAGGCGACGTTCATCGGGTAGAGCCAGAGGCAGACGACGCCGCCGAGGAGCAGCATCTGGTCGCCCATCGCCTGCTCCCTGCGAGGCCGCGGCGGTCGCGGCCGCGCGCGCGGACCTCTTTTTGCGGCGAGACGCCGAGCGCGCGCGTCATGTCAAAGTCGCCGCCGTAGCCGTAGTCGTCCATGGGCCCGCCCATGCCCACGATGCCCATGACGGCCGAGTCGTCCATGAGCAGCGGCGAGATGCAGCACAGAAAGCACGCTGCGGCGGTGACATGCGCGCGATTTTTTGTGAATTGTGATGCACCTGGCAGCGTCGTCGCGCCGTAGAAGGTCGTGACGCTGACGAGCAGCGCACGGTGGACCATGCTGCCAGGAGGTGGGTGGTGCTATGCGCTCCCAGTAGGCGCCGGACGATGGCTTCTCGCGCGCCTCAACTTGGCGCGCTTCTTGAAGTCGTGGGCTCGCGGCGAGTATGGCCAAGCCTGTGATGATGCTCGCGGCCGCAGCGCTAGCGGCAGCCCAATCGTCGGAGGACTACGTCATGCACGCCGCGAACGTGAGCGGCCCCTTCGGCGGCGTCTGCGAGCTCCAGCGTCTTGCGGCACCGCAGAAAAGATGAAAGATCGTCGCATTTTCTTAGGCGAACTCTGCGGCGAGCTCGTCTGCGTGCCGCACGTGAACTTCGCCAGCGTCAGCGCCATGGTCTACGACTACGCCGAATTCAGCTGCCACGGCGTCGCGCTCAACGTCAACACGGAGTCCGAGTCGGCGTACGTCGGCGAATGGACCAAGCTCGACCGCGCGCCCGCGAACGTGTCGTCGCTCGCTCTCGTGAAGCGCGGCGCGATCTACCGCGCCTTCGCCAACGGCGAGGAAGCCCAGTGGTTCTACCACCCGTCGGGCGCCGTGCCCTGCAACGGGTCGGCGCCGACGGCCGCCGAGCCCGAGGCCGCGAACGAGTGGATCTCGCGCAACGACGAGCCGCTGGACGCGGCCGTGCGCTCGCTACCGGGCGGCGGCGGCGACCGCCGGGCCGCCTTCGGCGCGCTCGAGCCCTCGGCCTTCGCCGTGCCGACCAAGGGCAGCGAGGGCCCCGACGCCGTCTTCGCGTGCGACGCGCGAGGCACCGCGCTCGTGCCCACGGACGCCGCCGCGCCGCCGGCGCGCGTGCTCGACGCGGGCTGCGTCCAGGGGCTCGTCGGCGAAGGCGCGGGCTGGCGCGTGTTCTTCGTCGACGCGACGCACTCGGCAGCGTCCTGTGGCTGTGATGATTTTCGAGAGCTTTCGACCGGGAAAACGATGAAAAATCGTCACCGACATGCCTGGTAGGCACTCGGCGACGCCGGAGCTCTACGCCGCGACGGCGACGAACCTCTCGGACGCGGCGACGTACGAAATCGACGGCGTCGTCCTGCGCGGCGACCCGGGCGCCTGGGACGCGGGCGGAATCGCGTCGGCGACGGACGTCGTGGCCCTGGCCAACGGCTCCGTCCAGCGTCCTGTGGCCGCGACGATTTTCGAGAGACTTTAGGGTGGGAAAACGATGGGAAATCGTCACCGTCATGCTTGGTAGGCTCCGTCGCGCTGCTCTACGGCTCCCGCGGCCGCGCGGGCCTCGCGGTCTCCGACGACGGCGGGCGCACCTCGGCGTCCTGTGACGATGTTCGAGAGATTTTGCGTGGGGAAACAATGAAAAAAACCGTCCTGCTCGGTAGGCGGGCCTGGCGCAAGCACGGCGCGAACCCGCTGCCGCTCGCGGGCGAGGCCTGGGCCTGGGACGCGCGCGTGGCGCCGACGTCGCTCGCGCGGCTCGAGGACGGCTTCCTCCTGGCCTACGACGGCGCCAACGTCGACCCGCTGGCGAGCGGCGGGTGCCCGAACCTCCCGGGCGCGCGCTGCGAGCGGACCGCGGTCGGCGGCGCGACGTCGCCGGACCTGCTCTCTTGGACGAAGCTCCCCGCGAATCCGTTGCTGCCGCCGTCGACGACGCCCGCCTCGAACTTCGACGCGCTCCGCGCGTCGCGCGCGGCCTGCGTCGCCGACGGCGACGGCGTCGCCTGCGCCTACGCGGGCGCCTCCGCCGCGGGCGCCGCCGCGGGCGTGAAGATCTTCTCCGGCGCGGACCTCGCCGGCCTCCGGAAGCCCCTGTTCTAGAGTAACGGGGTCTTTTCTCCGGCGCGGACCTTCGCCGGCCTCCGGAAGCCCCGACGGATCTCCGGCGCGGACCTCGCCGACCTCCGGAAAGGCGTCCGGGAGCCTCTAGAGAACGAGGCCTAGAACGGCCGATTGAACGTTCGGCGTCGGTTCACCTTGCCTGTGCAAGTGCCGCACTCCTGAGTGCTCAGCTCACGATGCGCAGTCGTAGCGGCTTCCTCGACATGACGCCGCTCTAGCATGTCATTCGGGTGGTCGGACGCGTCGGCGTCGCAGGCGTCGCAGGCCTGGTCCGATGACGACGCGTCCGCTGCGTCGCTGTCGCACGCGTCCGACGCGTCGTCCGCCGGCTCGTCGTCGCAGCAGCTCGTGCTGGCCGTCGAGCAGGCCCTGCGGCGCACGTCGCTCGCGTCGAACGTCGACGACGAGCGCGAGGCGTTGATCGTGGCCTTGCTCGCGCAGCTCGCCTGCGCCTACGGCGTGTCGCGGGAGGACTACGAGGCGCAGATCGCCGCGCTCGCGCGGCGCGGCGTCGTAAGAGCGAACGTCGAGCTCCCGCCCTTCGCCTGCGCGCTGCCCGAGGCGTTCCCACGACCCGCGAAGCTCCTGGAGTCGCCGGAGGCGACGCGCTACGAGCGCGAGTTCGAGGACCTGGGCCCGCTCGGCCGGGGAGCGTTTGGCCGCGTGCGCCGCGCGCGGCACCGGGTCGACCGCGCGGTCTACGCCGTGAAGCGCGTGCCGGCGCCCCGGGGCGGCGCCGCGGCGGACAAGTACGAGCGCGAGATGCGGCACCTGGCGCAGCTCGAGCACCCGGCGGTGATCCGCTACTTCGCGTCGTGGGTCGACGACCGGCCGGCCGGCTTCGACGCGTTCGCGGGCGGCTCGTCGGCCGGGAGCGGTGCGTCCGAGGCGCCGGAGCGCGAGCTCTTCCTCCAGATGGAGCTCTGCGGCGAGCGGACCCTGCGGGACTGGATCGACGACCGGGGCGACGCCGGCGCCGCGCGCGCGGACGCGGCGCTCCGCGTTGTGGGCGCCGTCGCCGCGGGGCTGGACCACGTGCACTCGCGCGACGTCATCCACCGGGACCTCAAGCCCGAGAACCTCCTGCTGCGGGAGGCGTCGGTGGAGGAGGCGAGCGACGCGCCGCCCGACGTCGTCATCGCGGACTTTGGGCTGTCCAAGGCTTTGCCGAATTCAACCACTGGTTTGGGTGGTGACCAAACTTGAGAATTCTCTAGCTCGGTCAAATCGAAGTCGATTCGGCTGATTTTTGGACGAATCGATTGCCCTCATCGAGTTCTCGAAGCACGGCCGAAGAGCATGCGTCGAAATGGTCGCATACGCGCACATTGAAGTCGGGTTGAAGATTTGAATTCGGCACAGGTCCAAGGAGGTCGGCCAGGTCTCCGGCGAGGACTCGCCCCTGGCCCGGAACCACACGACGGGCGTCGGCACGGCGTCCTACGCGGCGCCGGAGCAGCTCGCCAAGGGCGCGGCCTACGGCGCGGGGGTGGATATTTTCTCGCTCGGGCTCGTGCTCTTCGAGCTCGCGACGCCGCTGGGCACGGCGATGGAGCGCGCCAAGGCCTTCCAGGCGCTGCGGAGCCGCGACCCGGCGCCGGCGCTGAGAGACGCGCCGCCGGCCGTCGCGGCGCTCGTGCGGCGCTGCTGCGCGCTCCGGCCGGCGGACCGGCCGACGGCCGCGGAGGTCGCGGCGGCCGCGGCCGCGGCCGTCGCCGTCGCGCCGCGCGACGCGGCCGCGGACGCGCTCGCGGACCTGCCGAAGCGGGCCCTCGTCGAGGAGATCCTGCGCCTGCGGCGCGCGCTCGAGGGAGCTCGGAGGGACGACCCTGGAACCCTGAGGGGCCCCGGGGACGAGGGCGCGCCGCTCGCGCGCCGCGAGGCGAACCCCCGCCGGGGCTTTAGCGCGTAAGAGTGCTTACCTCTCTCGCGTTTCTTCTGACGGCGAACGGCAACGACGGCCCGCGCCTACTCGCCCTGGTTCCCTCCGCGGGCCTGCCTCCCCTCCCCGGACGGACGCAGTCGAGCGCGCGTCCCCTTCAATAACTTGGTCAACGACTTGGTTGATGTCGATGTTGGGGCAGCCTTTCGGGCAGCCTCTTTCGGAGAGCATGGTGGCCATTGCATGGCGGAGGATGAGATCGCGTTCGTCGATGTCGTGACAATCGTCGTCCCTTTGGTTCTCGAAGCCTTGTGTTCGACGTCGTCGTCGCGCGCCGTCTTCGTCGTGCTCGGCCTCGTGCGCGGCGTCCTCCTCGTCGCCGTCGTCGGGCTCTCGCTCCCGGTCCGGTACCGGATCGGCCCCTGGCTCTTCACGTACCCGGAGGGCGCGCCGCGGAGCGAAACGGAGTAATGGAGAAGGTCGCGGACAGCGCCGAGTGGGACGACGGGCCGACGTTCGGCGCCGCGAACCCGATGGTCGGCGCGCTGCGCGGCGCGGCGCCGCGGCGCGCGTCGGACAGCAAGCCACCGGAACTCGCCGCTCCTCCGCCGCCGCCGGGCTTCGACGTCGAGGACCCGCAGCGGCGCGCGTCGGCGCCGGAGCGCGCGTCCGACGCGGAGCCTCCGGGCCTCCGGCGCACGTCGGCGCCGGCGTCGACGCGCGCCGCCCTTTCGGCGCCGGCGTCGACGCGCGTCCCCGAAGCGAGCCGCGGCGACGCGCTGCGGCGCGACATCTCCGCGCTGGACCGCGAGGTCCAGGCCGTGCTCTCGAAGCGCTCCCCCCACAAGCGGCAGACGGTCATGGGCAAGGCCTGGCACGCGGCCGTGACGGCGCTCGTGGAGCGGGAAAAGGAGGAGATCGCGCTCCGCGCCTGGGAGAACGCCATCGACTTCGGGAGCTCGTCGGCGGGCCTCTCCATCTACCTCGTCGCGGCCGTCACGGAGTCGCGGCGCCGCGACATCGGCAAGTGCATCTTCCTCGTCGTCCTCTGCTTCACGGTGCAGTGCGTCCTGCTCGTGTCCATCACCTGCGAGTTCATCGAGGGCCCGGCGACCATCGTCGCGCCGGGCTTCCAGCCGCACGTCAACGACGGCACCCTCCGGCGCAAGTGGGCGCGGCACGTCGCCGCCGACGCGGCCGCGGCCGCGCTCCTGTCGCTCATCGTCTGGATCATGTGGGTCAAGTTCAACGGCCTGCGCGTCTACCGCATCTACTGGGAGGGCCGCCGCGTCCGCCGCTGGGTCCTCGTCTTCGCGATGCTCGCCAAGGTCGCGCTCCCGCGTCCCGAGAGCGTTTCGACGAAGGCCCCGCGCGCGTTCGCGACGGCAGCCCGAGAGTGGTTTGACGAATGCTTTCGCGACGGCAGCCCTCGACACACTAGGTCACGCTCATCTTCTGCTCCTGCTTCATCACCTACATGCTCTTCCGCGGCGACAACGCGCTCCTGTCGATGATCCTGAACGTCATGAAGATCCAGTACGTGAACCGGCTCGACACGGAGGTCGTGCGCATCGGCCGCGAGGCGCCGCGCCTCGGCTGCGTCATCGGCGACGCCGAGGACCTGACGGCGAGCGTCGCGCGCGACCTGCGCAAGCGGGACCTGTCCGCGCCCCGCGTCGTTCGATCCCTCGCGGCGCCGCGACGCTCGCCCCGCTCGCGACGACGGGCCCGAGGGGCGCGTTGACGCGCCGCAGCTGCGGGTTCGCGCGCGCGACGCGCGCGGCCGGCGCGACGCTCTACCGACGCGTCCGTAGGCCGAAGACGCTGACGAAGATCGAGTCGGCCAGCTTCGCGACGATCCGCAAGCTCGCGCGCGTGCGCCTCTCGCAGGCCATCCTCGAGTGCGTCTTCCGCGTCTGCCGCCTCGCGTTCCGGATCTGCGCGTTCGCGCTCCTGTTGACGTGCGCGACGGGCGGCCACATCGCGCACATCCACTTCCGCAACGTGCTCTGGTTCCTCACGCTCCTGAAGCAGCGCTACCCGTCGGAGTCGTCGGAGTACCTCCACGTCTTCATCGTCGACTCGCCGAAGACGGACGTCAAGTACTCCGTCATCGTCTGGATCATGGTCGCCGCCGTCGCGTGCCTCGCGCGCCTCGGCCGGCTCTGCTGCAAGACGTGCTGCAAGCGCGTCGGCAAGGGGCCCTGCCAGGCCGTCGCGCGGGCGCTGTCGCTGCGCCGCGAGCGCTCGGCGACGACGACGCGCGAGAGCCCCGAGGCCCTCGACCTCGAGCTCGCGCCGGCGCGGCGGGCCCGCGCGCCGACCCTCGACGCCATGGACGACTGCTAAGAGGAGGGAACTTGGTGGGGACTTCGCGCTGTCCTGCGAGGCGGTTTCTTTCCCGTAGCAACCGCGCCAGCAAACTCCGCCGCGCGCGGACGTGGACGGCGCCGAACACGGACCCGCCGCTGCACTTCCTCTGTCGAGCCCGCGCAGCTCCGCCTTGGACCGGCCGCCGCACACGCGCGCGTACGCGGCTGCCCCGAAAGAAAAGGAGGCTGCCCAGATCCGAAACGGAGGCTGCCCCGCGCGCGCGTGCGCGGCTGCCCCGAAAGAAAGGCTGCCCCGAAATTGTCGATTCGAGGCTGCCCCGATTCAGATCCCAAGGAAATTGGTGTGTCTCTCACAACAAAGAAAAGAAGCGGTTCTCGACATCGGAGCAGCGATCTTGCATCGTGGGTCCAGTGTTCGATACCGCCTCTTTCTCTCCACTCTGGCGAGAGGTACACCATCAACCTGTATCTTTCGTCGTTTGGCTGGGGTGTGTGATGGTTGGCGGTGTGGCTCACCAGCCGCGTCGTCCGATTGCGCGCCCCTCAGATATCTTCGCAGTTTTGGCCGAGCGGTCTAAGGCGCCAGTTTAAGGCACTGGTCTTCGGGCGCGGGTTCGAATCCCGCAGACTGTACTCTATACCCCTCCCACGGGGGGTTACGGCGAGTGATGTAGTGGTAACATTAGTCGTTGCCATCGACTATCCCCGGGTTCGATTCCCGGCTCGCCGAACTTGTCTTTGTCGGTATGGCCCAATGGATAAGGCGCGTGACTACGGATCACAGCGGCGGCTATACGGTCGCCGCGATCTCGTCGGAGATTCTGGGTTCGAATCCCAGTATCGATTCTTTTTTGCTCCCGGCGGTCGTGACGTTCTTTTTTTGCTCGCAGGTGCGGCGCGCGGTAATTCCAAGTCGCGCCTCCCTTTCGAAGACAACTCCGCTGCCACGATTACGCGCGGGCCCGCGGCGCGCGGCGGGCGGAGCGGGCGGCGTCGACGGACGGACGCCGGCTGGCTCCGGAATGTCGAAGAAAGACAGGCGCGCGCGGCTCGGCTGGCGCGGTCGTGGTCTGGCGTCGCGGCGCGACGAAGGAGCGCTCACATGTCCGCCTCCCGCGTCGCGCTCGCGCGCCGGCTCCCGCGTCGCGCTCACATGCCCGGCGCGCCGCCGACCTTCTGCATGTTGGCCGCGGCGACCTGCTCCATGAAGTCGTTGAGGATCTTGCGCTTCGCCGCGAGGGTCTCGCGGAGCGCGTTCTCGGGCATCTCGTTCTCGTTGGCCTCGCGGAGCGCGTCCTCGGCCTCGCGGACGGCCTGCGAGAGCTGGTCGGCCTCCTCGCGCTGCTGGCGCGTCATGCGCGTCGTGCTCGTCGTCTTCGCCTCGATCTTCTTGTCCATGAGCTTGACGTCGACGCCCTTGGCCTTGAGCGTCTCCTCGCGGGGCCGCGCGGCGCCGAAGGGGTTCGGCTTGCCCGAGGCCGACGCGCTGCGCTCGGCGGCGGCCTTGGCCGCCGCCGCCGGGTCCCGCTTCTTCAGCATGAGCTTCGGCCGCCCCGCCGGGACCGCCTCGGGGCTCGACTCGTAGCTCGCCATCGCGTATCGGCGGGCGCCTCGGGGCGAAGAGGCGGCGCCGCGCGGAGCGTCCGGCGCGTTTTCTGATGCGCCCGCGGAGGGAGCCGGAGGAGGCGAGGCGCCGGCGGAGCTTCGGCACCGCGGAGGTGCCCCGGCGCGCGGACACAAGGGGCCGCACTCGCGGCCGCGGACAGGTGGACAGAACCTTGGGCAGCAAGTTGGGCTGCTCGCGACGCTTGATTTTAGCGCACCCGCGAGAACTTCACTCTTTTTTGTTGCCTCAGCGGTGCCGCGGGCCCGGCTCGGCGTCGCTGCGCCCACCACGCCGACCATGTTCAAGAAGCGGACGCAAAAAGGACAGAAGCGCGGCGCCGTCGCGCCGCCGCCAACAGACGACGACGACGACGACGCCGCGCCGGAGCCCATCGAGGCCGTCCAGAACAGCCAGTACTGGCGCAAGCGGTCCAAGGGCCTGTCCGCCGGCGCGCTCGCGACGCGGGAGCACTCGGAAAAAGAGGCGAAGGACGCGCCGAAGGAGGAGCCCGCGGCCGCGCCGGAGACCATCGAGGGGCTCATGGAGAAAAAGTACGCGGGCGCGTCGGGCGCGGCGTCGAGCCGCGACGCGCTGCACGAGGCCGCGCTCGCGGACTTCATCGCCCGGCGCACGGCCGCGACGGCGGAGCCGCCGGCGCCGGCGCCCCTCTCCGCCGAGGACGCGCTCTACGTCGTGCCCAAGCTCGCGGACGCGCCGTCGATCACGCACGACGCCGAGGCCGCGCACGGCATCGGCGGCGGCGTCGCCTTCGGCGCGACGGGCCTCGCGGAGGTCGTCGGCGACGACGACGCCGCCGAGGCGAACCGGCGGCGCACGGCGCGCGTCGTCGCGGACCTCGACCGCAAGCGCGCGGCGGACGCGCTCGCGGTGTCGTCCGCGCTCCTCCCGGGCGAGCGGGAGCGGCTCCTGCCGCCGTCGGCCGTGCCCGCCGAGGAGGACCTCCGCGGCAAGCGCGGGCCCCACCTCTGGCAGCGCGGCTCCCAGCGCGACGAGCGGCGCAAGGCCCTCGCGAAGAGCCGCGCGGACCGGTGCGGGTAAATGGTGCTGTTGTTGTGTTGTTCGCGGCGTTGTTATTCGTGTCTTGCGCCCCGTATTTCGTCGCAGCTGCGGCGCGTCTGCGAAAGGTGCGCGGCGCCGCGCGGGCGGACGGCATCGTCGAGTGCATCGTTGCGAGTGAACGTCGCTTGCACTTGATCTCGCTCAGCTCGACGCGTCGTCGCCTGGCAACAGCGCGATGCGCGACCAGCTCCAGAGCGCGACGCGCATCGTCATCAAGGCGGGGACGTCGACGGTGTCCAACGACGGTACGTACCATCGACACACGATCCATGAACCACGAACGTGTCCGCAGATGGGACGCCGTCGCTCGTGCGCCTCGGCGGCATCGTCGAGGCCATCGCGCGGCTCATGCGCGACAACAAGCAGGTGATCCTCGTGTCGTCGGGCGCCGTCGGCTGCGGGCGCAGCAAGCTCCGCAAGCAGGTACGACGCCAACACCCCCCCCGGCGCGTCGCGACCCCGAGTTTCGTAGGCGGCGATGCACCGGTCGCTGCGCGACCACATGAACGACCTCGGCGACGAGAAGCCGACGCACTACAACAGCGCCTGCGCCGCCGCGGGCCAGCTCGCGCTCATGTCGCTCTACGACACCATGTTCTCGACCTGCGACATCGAGCCGTCGCAGTTCCTCGTCACGCAGCGCGACTTCAACGACGAGGGCTGCCGCGCGAACTTGAAGTCGTCGCTGAGCTCCATCGTCGGCGTGGGCATGCTGCCCATCGTCAACGAGAACGACGCCGTGTCCGGCAACAGCGGCTACGCGAACGTGCCCGCGGGCTGCTTCTCCGACAACGACGGCCTCGCGGCTTTAGTGGCGCAGCTCTTCGGCGCGGAGCTCCTCATCCTCCTCACGGACGTCGACGGCCTCTACGACCGGCCGCCGAGCGCGCATGGCGCGAAGATCATCCGCGAGGTCCACCCGGCGTCGCTGTCCGCCGTCGAGTTCGGGCCCGTGTCCAAGGGCGGCCGCGGCGGCATGGAGGCCAAGGTCGGCGCGGCGCTCCGGGCGCTCGAGATGGGCGTCAAGGGCGTCGTCATGGCGTCGGGCACGACGCAGAACGTCGTCGGGCGCCTCATGGGCGGCGAGGATTTGGGGACCTACTTCTCGACGTCCATCTCCCGGAAGGCGTCCTTCGACGCGGACCCCTCCGAGGAGGCCGCGGCCGCGCGCGCGGCCGCGCGGTGCCTCCAGGGCCTCTCCGGCGCGGAGCGCACGGCGATCCTCGAGGGCGTGGCGCTCGCGCTGACGGCGCGCGCGCCGGAGATCCTCGCGGCCAACGAGGCCGACGTCGCGGCGAGCTCGAACGTCGCGCCGCACCTGAAGCAGCGCCTCGGCCTCGGCGCCGCGAAGCTCGCGACGACGGCCGCGGGCGTCGCGGCGCTCGCGGCCATGGGCGACCCGCTGGGCAAGGTCTACGTGCGCCGCGAGCTGGCGCCGGGTCTGGTGCTCGAGAAGCGGTCCGCCGCTCTTGGGGTGGTGCTGGTGATCTTCGAGGCGCGGCCGGAGGCGCTGCCGCAGATCTCCGCGCTCGCGCTCCGGGCCGGGTGCGCGTTGATCCTCAAGGGCGGGTCGGAGGCCAAGGAGTCGAACGCGGCGCTCTACCGCGTGATCCGCGACGCGGTCGTCGCCGCGGCGCCGGCTCGCGCGAAACGCGCGCTCGCGGCCGCGGTGACGCTCCTCCCGGGCCGCGACGCCGTCGCGAGGCTCCTCAAGGCCACGGACGAGTCGCCGGCGCCCCTCGTGGACCTGGTCGTGCCCCGGGGCTCCAACGACCTCGTGAAGCACGTGCAAAAGTCGACGAAGGTGCCCGTGCTCGGCCACGCGGACGGCGTCTGCCACGTCTACGTCGACGCGTCCGCGGACGCGGCGACGGCCGTCAAGGTCGTCGTCGACGCCAAGACGGACTACCCGGCGGCCTGCAACGCCTGCGAGACCGTGCTCTTCCACGAGGCCTGCGTCGGTAGCGGCCTCGCCAAGGCCGTGCTCGACGCGCTCGTCGCCAAGGGCGTCGCGCTCTTCGGCGGGCCCGGGGCCGTCGCGCGGGGCCTCGTCTTCACCGAGGCCGACAAGCCGGAGAAGTGGGAGTACGGCTGCCTCGCCCTGCGCGTCGACGTCGTACCGGACGTCGCCGCGGCCGTCGCCCACGTCAACGCGCACTCGTCGGGCCACACGGAGTGCGTCGTCGCCGAGGACGCGGCCGTCGCCGACGCGTTCCTGGGCCTCGTCGACTCGGCGGACGTCTTCCACAACGCGTCCACGCGCTTCGCCGACGGCTTCCGCTTCGGCCTCGGCGCGGAGTTGGGCATCGCGACGGGCCGCATCCACGCGCGCGGGCCCGTGGGCGTCGACGGCTTCCTCACCTACAAGTGGCTCCTGCGGTCCGCGTCGGCGGGCGGCGACGCGGCGTCCGAGTTCGGCAGCGGCGCGAAGACGTACACGCACAAGGACCTCGCGCTCGCGGACTAGGGCGCGCGTGGGCGGCATCTAAAAAAGGTGAAGTAAAAGAGAATGGGCCATAGAAGGCCTCGGAGGGGGGCGGGGGCGAAGTCTGCTCATTGGCGGCCCGCCGGGTCGGCGGACCGCGGGCTCTCGTAACGAGGAGCCGGGACGGGCGGATGGAGCGCCCGGAACGAGTCGGGGGGGGCGGGGGGTGCTGTGAGAAAAGGGGGCTTCCCCGGCGGCGGCGGCACCGCGCGGGCGCGCCCGCCGGGGGATGGTGCGCTGCGGGTCGGAAACCCCGCGCTTTTGAGCGGGGGCGGGCTCGAGGACGGGTACGAGCGCGCCGCGGCGTCGCGGGCGCGTTCAGGCGCCGATGAGGTCCGCGAGCGTGGCGACGTTGGTCTCGTCGAAGCCCGAGAAGCCCGCGCGCGTGAGGACGTCGGCGGCGACGCGCGCGGACGCGTCGGACTCGCGGCAGGACGCGAGCGCGACCTCGACGAAGCGGATGAGGCCGCCGTCGAGGGCGCGCGTCGCGCGCGCGTTGTCGACGATGAAGCCGAGGCGGTCCCAGGCGCGGGGCGTCGTGTCGGCCCGGAGGCAGCGGACCGCGAGCTCCAAATCCTCGCGCGTCATGTTCGCGACCGCGCCCACGTCCAAGCCGTAGAAGGCGCGCTTCAGCGACGGCGCGCGGTCGACGTACTGGCGGAACTCGGGCTCGTCGGCGCGGCGCGTCGACACCCAGACCAGGCGCTCGAAGCAGGCCTCGTCGGAGGAGGGCCGCGCGCCGTAGACGCCGCGGTAGAAGCGGACGTACGCCTCGCGGGAGAAGGCGCAGGTGCCGCTGCGGACGTACTTGGTCCCGTAGCAGTGGCTGAGGAGGCGGTCGACGTCGTTGGCCTCGTCGTCGCCCTCGTCGGCGCCGCGGAGGAAGAGGCGCCGCTGGTAGTCGTCCTCGGGCGGCGCGCGCGGGCCGTCCGCCTGGGGACCTACCGGCGGCGCGGGCGCCGCCGGCGGGCCGCGGGCGACGCCGGGCCGGTGGCGCTTGTTCGGCGGGAGGCGCTCGTTGGCCTCCGGCGGGGGCTTCGGGGCCGCGAGGGACGCCATCTCCTGCGCGACGAGCGCGGCCGCGCCGACCAACGCCGAGATGCCCGAGGGGAAGACCTGGACGATGGTGGCGCCCTCGATGGCCTCGCAGGGCTCGCCGCGCACGGGCGACCCCTCCAACAGCTGGTTGGACGACGTGTCGATCTGGCTCAGGTCCCGCGCGCGGCGGGGCCCGCCGCCCGCGCCGGACGAGTTCGCGTCGCGGCCCTTGGTCACGAGCTTGTACATGCGGCCCCGCAACCCGTGGCTCGGCTCGCCGGAGGCCGTCGTGCCCGGGCTCGGGCCCGGGGCGTTGCCGTCGGGGTCGTCGTAGAGGGGGCCCTTGCGCTTGTTGTCCGCCTGCTGGCCCGGGTACCGCGCCGTCGTGCGGCGCCGCGCCCGCGACATCGCGCAGACGGCGACGCCGAGCTCGGGCGCGTCGGCGGACCAGTGGACGTAGGAGTTGAGCACGGACTGGAAGGTCACGGGCGTGCACTCGCGCTGCTCCTCGCGGAAGTTGCGCTCGGGCTGCTTGCCCGCGCCCGCGCCGGCCGCGAACGCGCGGCTCACGACGTAGCACGTGCCCAGGCGCAGGTCGATGGGGCTCGCCGTCTTGCGGATCGGCAACGCCTCGAGGACGCGCCGGTCCTGCTTGCGCACGGCCTGGAGGAGCGCGAAGGCCTGGCAGGGGCTGAGCTCGACGCCGTACGCCACCGCTTCCAAGGCGGGGCCGACGCCGTCCTGGTCGCTGACCGCCGGGGGGCGGATCTGCGCCGGCGGCGCCAGGGGCGGCGCCATCGTCTGCAGGGGGGGCGCCAGGGTCGTCGTCATGGCCGGGGGGAACTCCGGCAGCGGGCGAGTTCCGGAAGACGACGCAAACGAAGCCAATGGCACGTCCGCGGCGCGGGGCGGGGCCGTGTTCGCGGCGCGCCGGGGCGCCGACGGTCCAGCGGGGCCGGACGCCTGAAGGGGTTGCTGTGGGTCGATGGCTCCGGCCCCGAGGGGACAGCGGAACGCGGACGAAGCGGAGAGGCGAGTGAATGCAGGAACTTCCTGGCCGCCGTGGTCGCTGGGGGCGGATTGCTCCTTGGGATGAACTAAAATGATCTAAAGTCACCGCCGACCTCGACTGATGATTGGGCCTCCTTTTCAGATTCCGACACGAGTGGTCTCGGACAGCAGCGCCATGATCGGCTGGGGGGTGGTGTGACAAGCTTCAACGGTTTTGACCCAACGTAATGGCGGAACAGGAAGCCATGAAATGGGAAAGAATGCGGGGGGAGAATGCATTGAAGTCCCGCCACGCGGCGTCCTGAAGCAAGCCTTCTGCAAGTGCACGACGATGCGCGTCGCCCAGCTCCTCCTGGCGGCGCAGGCCGCGCGCGCGCTCGTCGACGTCGAGTGGTACGGCTACTCCAGCTGACAGCGCTCCCGCAGCGCCTGCGCCAAAAAAAAGGCTGCCCCACGGACAAAAAGGCTGCCCACAGGTACTGCTACGAGGCCAGCAACGTCGTCAACGCGTCGCTGGCGGACCTGTCCGTCGCCGGGGGCGTCAACTTCACCTACTACCCCGTCAACCACGTCAACGCGACGTCGGGCGCCTTCGAGTGCGCCGTGGACGGCGAGTCCCTGGACTGCGAGAGCACCGCGTACGACGGCTGCATGACGGACGTCCACTGCCGCGCCGGCGGCTGCGACGCCGCGACGCAGCGGAAGATCGCGCGCTTCCTCGCCTGCTTCGAGGGGGCCTACGCGAACCGCGAGGTCAACGTGAACGCGTCGCGCCGCGAGCCGTGCTTCCGCGAGGCGGATTTGGACTTCGCGCCCGTGCGCGCGTGCTACGCGGACGCGCCGCGCCGCGCGGCCATCGCCGCGCGGTTGAACGCGTCCAAGGCGGCGATGATGGCGCGCCTGGGCGCCTCGCCGGGCCTGTTCCCCCACATCTTCGTCGACGGGAAACCGCTCGTCGACCGCACGTGGACCGCGCTCACGCGGACGATCTGCGGCGCGCTGCCCGCGCCGCCGTCGGTCTGCGATTCGGTGGCGGCGCCGCGGCTCGTCTTCGCCGTCGCCGAGGGGCAGCTGCGCGAGGGCCCGGCCCTCGACGCCGCGGCCGTGCTCGCCGTGAATTCGGCCGCGTCGAAGGCGGCGTTTCCGGTGCACTTCGCGACGGACGACGACGCGCTGCCGCCGGGCGACCCGTCCTACGTCGACGTCCGCGCCGCGACGCGCGCGAGCTGCGCTGTGGCCGATGCGGCGGCGACGTGCTCCTACGAGGTCCTCGGCGCGTTCCGCGGCGCGGTCGACCAGGCCTGCCGCGACGGCGGCTTCGAAGCGGGCCTCGTCTACGGCCTCCGACACGCCGCGGGCCTCGACGCCGACGTCGCCGTGCGCGCGTGCTAGGAGCCGCGACCGCGCGCCGCGCCCATGACGGCCCCGCCGCCCGCGCGAGGCGGCCGGGCCCGAGAACTCCGAACGCGCGCTGTCAGGCTTACTTGCACTGTCCAGGCGCGTCGGGAATGGCGGCGGTGGGACTTGGGAAGAACTGGCGCGCGGGGAGCTCAGAGGAACTCGAAGTCGTCGAGGCGGCTCGGGCCGCGGCCCGAGCCGCGCTTGGCGCCGCGGGGGCCCTCCCGCCCGGGCTTGACGGAGGCGGGCTTGCGCGGGCCCGGCCAGGAGCCCGAATCGAACTCGAAGCCGCCGAGGCGGCTGCGCTTCTCGCCGCGCGGCTCGCGCGACTTCTCGTCGCGCTTGCGCGGGACGCGCTTGGCGGCGCCCTTGCGGCGGAAGCCGCCGAAGTCGTCGTCGTCGCTGCTCTCGAGAACGACGGGCTTCTTCTTCGACCCGCTGCCGTCGTCGTCGCGGTTGTCGCTGCTCTCGAGGGACGCCGCGACCTTGTCGTCGTCGCCGGTCGCGATTTCGTACGGCAGCTTGCCGTAGATCCGGTTGTAGAGCATCAACCGTTCGAACCAGCCGGGCTTGCGGTCCAAGGCTTGATGCTTCTCGTCCTGGGCGACGTCCGCGATGAGCTTGTCGCGGTCGGCCTGGGTAAAGTAGCGCAGGTCATCACCGCGGGTGAATTTCGGCCCCGCGGCGCGAGCGCTTCGGGCGGCGCGGGCCGCGATAATAGCGTCGGCCTGCTCCGGGGTCTCCATGCTCAGTACCTGAGACGGCGCGTCATCAGTTCCGGCGCGGTCGCGCGCGCGCGCCCCCGCGGCAGCCCCGAGGTGGGGCAGGCGCGCGCTCCCCCGCAGCGACCACCGAGGGCGCGCGCAGCCCTCCTCGGGCCAGGCGGCCGCGGCCCCGTGGGCCCGGGGCGCTCTGGCGCGCGCGCTCGCGCGAGGGGGCTGCGAGGCACCTGCCGAGAGCCCGCGCCGAGAGTCTTGGTGCCTTGGCTGCCCCTGATCGATCGAGGCCGGCGGACTTCACCATTCAATGTTGACAACTGCAACCCACGACTCAAAAACACACCCCCGGCAACCTAGTGACACACCCTCACCACTGTTACTTCCCGATGCAGAAGTCGTTGAACAGCACGTCCAACACCTGCTCCGTGTCGACCGCGCCGACGACCGCGCCGAGGTCGCTCGTCGCGGCCCGGAGCTCCTCGGCGACGAGCTCCGGCATCAAGTCGGGATCGGACAGCACGGCGTCCAGACACGCGACGCAGCTCGCGACGTGCTTCCGGTGGCGCGCGCGCGTGATCGCCGGCGCCTCGTAGTCGTCGCGGCTCGACCGGAACGCGTCGACGACCCGCCGCTCGAGATCGTCGACGAGCGCCGCGGCGCCGTCGGCCGCCGTCGCCGACGCGCGCACCGTCGCCGCCGCCGCGACCACAGCCCCCAGGCCCTCGGCCTCGGCGGCGGCGCGCAGCGCCGCGACGCGCGCCGCGTGCGTCGCGCCGTCGACCAAATCCGCCTTGTTCGTGACGACGACCAACTCCGGCGCCGGCGCGCCGTCGTCGCGGCGCCAGACGGGCGCGATGGCGCGGAAGGCGTCGGCGACGGCCGACGCGTCGTCGTCGGCGGCGTCGAGCACGAAGACGACGACGTGGGCCGCCTCGGCCGCCCGGGCCGCGCGCCGCATGCCTTCCACCTCGACCGCGTCCAGGGAGTCCTCCTCGCCGTCGACGCGCAGCCCCGCCGTGTCGAAGAGGCGCGCGGGCAGGCCGCCGAGGGACAGCCCGATCTCCAGCACGTCGCGCGTCGTGCCCGCGGCCTGGGACACGATCGCCGCGTCGCGAGCGGCGACGGCGTTGAGCAGCGACGACTGCCCGCGTTCGGCGCGCCCGCGAGGACGACGCGCACGCCGTCGCGCGTCGCCTCGCCCCGCGGCGCGTCCGTTAGCGCGGCGTCGAGCTCCGTTTTCAGGGAGCGGACGCTGGCGTCCAGCGCCGCGCGGATGTCGTCGCTCTGGTCCGCGACGTCGCCCTCGACGTCGTCGCCGAAGTCGACGAGGACCTCCGCGGACGCCCGCAGGCTCGCGAGCTCGCCGCGCCAGCGCGCGTAGGTCCGCTCCATGGACCCGCCCATCTGGGCCAGGGCCTGGCGCCGCTGGGGCGCCGTCTTCGCGGCGAGCAGGTCCGCCAAACCCTCGACCTCGGTGAGGCCGAGCTTCCCCGCGGCGAACGCGCGCCGCGTGAACTCGCCGCGGTCCGCGGCGCGCAGCTTCGGGAGGGCATCTAGAGCCTCGAGCACGCCGTCGACCGTCGCCTCGCCGCCGTGGCAGTGCAGCTCGACGACGTCCTCGCCCGTGAAGCTCCGCGGCGCCTCGAAGCGCAGGACGAGCGCCTCGTCGAGGACGTCGGACGCGTCGCGGAGCGTGCGCAGCGACGCCACGCGGTGCGCCGGGAGTGGTTTGCCCGGCGTCAGCGCCGCGAGCGCGTCGCTCGCGGACGGGCCGCTCACGCGCACGACGGCGACGCCGGCGACGCCGCGGCCGGACGACAGCGCGTAGATCGTGTCGCCGGCGGCGCGCAGCGATGTGAGCGTTCTGTGAGATGTCCGGCGCAGCGGCGACCGCAGCGCGGCGCCGAGCACGGCGAGCATGGCTGCGAGCGCGCCGCGCATGCCGCTGGGTATTATCACAGGAATTGAAGCGCAAAGGCCCGCTGGAGGATTTTGTGGCATTTGTCCGAGAGGCCAGCTCGCCACAGGATTTTGTGGGTGCGATGGCATCGTCGCTGGTCCACCTGCGCTTGACTGGCCAAAAACCCGACACATACCAGGCCACGCCGAATCTGCCGCCGATCGACGGCCGCTGCAAGTCGCACGTCTTGATGGCGCTGGATAAGCACAAAAAGATGTTCAAGAACAAGAAGCTGCGACAGCAGCTCCACAACGACGTGTTTTTCGTGTCGAAGATCAGCGGCGTCTTCCACCACGCTTTAAACTCCGTCTTCGAAGCGCTCACGCAGCGCTACACGGACCTCGGCGAGGGCGAGGTGATGAAATGGTTTTCTTCAGAGTACTTGGAGAACGGCGCGTGGACGCGCGCGGAGCTGCCGCCGGGCTTCCCCAATGACACGAACACGCTCGAGGCCTCCAACAAGACGCTCAAGGAGCAGTGCACGGACTACACGATGAAGCCCGTCCTCGCCTTCCTCTCGGACATGTTCAACTACGTGCAGGACAAGAGCCAGCTCAACGCGGAGTTCGCGTACGACGCGCCGCCGTCGACGCCGCAGACGAAGCTGGCGAAGGACGCGACGGCGGTCCTGAGCTCGGTGCAGCTCTTCAAGGGCGTCGAGATCCGCTACGACATCCTCACCTAACGCCGCGGCGTTCCTCGAGAACGCGTCGGAGACGCCGTCGAGCCTCTGCGGCGTCCTGGCCATGCCGCCGCTGGGCAGGAAGGTCTCGCGCGCCGCCTGGGTCGGGGACCACGCCCTGGAACGCAAGGATTCCCTCGCGGGGCCCCTGAACACGCAGGAGTAGCTCGTCAAGCCGGCGGCGGCGTTCCTCGAGAACGCGTCGGAGACGCCGTCGAGCCTCTGCGGCGTCCTGGCCATGCCGCCGCTGGGCAGGAAGGTCTCGCGCGCCGCCTGGGTCGGGGACCGCGCCCTGGAACGCAAGGACTCCCTCGCGGGGCCCCTAACACGCAGGAGA